CATTAGTATTATAATACAAAAATCATTTTTAAAACTAAACAAGGAGTAAGTTAGAATATGTTTGTATACTTTCTAAGAGAACAGACCTAAAAATAACATTTTTTTATTTTTTATGTTACTTTTATTTTATTAATATTGTTTAATATGTCATTATAACATTTTTTTTGTTTATTTTTATTATTTCTAATAGTTTTGCGTTTGCGGAGATTCTTAAAATATATCATGAAATGTAATATTTTTTTTTATTTTACTTGTTATTTAAAAAAATAACAATTATTTGTTTGCCTCTTTTATTAAGATTTTTTCATGGAGGAACAAATTGTAATGTTTTATTTATTTATTTTTTATACATTTTGTAATGTTTTATACTTTATTTTGGATGCAACATCACATTTATATATTATTTTAAACATATTCGGTAAGTATTCTTAATTTATTAAATCTCAACCCAATTAAAAAAAAAACTCAAAACTATAGAAGAAGGGTATTTGGAAAAATGTATATCTTTAAATTTTGTATGTAAACAACACAACTATATATGTGTTTTTAAGTATATACAGTTAGTATCCATAATTTTATTTAATATAATTCCAATCAAAATGCAAAAAAAACTAAACACTATTTTGTTTTAGAAGAAGCTTAACTGGGAATTTAAATTTATTCCATTTTTATTTTTATTTTAATACTTAAAAACAAGTATAAAATGCTGAAATTAATTTTAAAATTAGTTGATAAAGAAGAACACAACATCGAAATAAAACTGTGACAAAATACAGTAATGGTGGTAGGAAAAGTATGTAGTTAGACGTACTACGGCAGAATAAAAAAAATGTTAATATCTTTCGCATGAAAATTTTATGTCCAAAGGGAAGCCCTTATACGTAAACCGACATTAGAAAATTTTGGCACGGAAGATACAGTCAAATCAATTTGAAAACGTTACCAATATCAAACAGATAGAAGGTTCCCCAATGTAGTATTATAATACAAAAAATATGTTTAAAACTAAATAATGAGTAGGTTGGTATATGTTTATATATTTTCAACTAAAACTAACATTTTTTATTTGTTATGTTATTTTATTTTTATTAATATTTATTTTTATTGTTTAATATACTATTTTTATTTTTAAACATATGTTTTTTATAATTTCCAGTAGTTTTATGTTTTTTGGAGATTCTTAAAGTCTAATATGAAATGTAATATATTTTTTTATTTTACTTGTATCACATTTAAATATACTAAAAATTGTTATTCAATAAAAAAATAACAATTATTTGTTTGTTTGCTTATTTTATTAAGATTTTTTTATGGAGGAACATATTTTAAGGTTTTAGTTTTGTTTGTATACATTTTTTTAATGTTTTATACTTAAAAATAATATGGGGAGTATTTTATTGTTTTATTTATAGATTTCTGAGATAAACATCACAATTAATTTTATTTATATTTAAGTGTATTCAGTAAGCATCCTTAATTTATTTCATGTAAATTCAATTAAAATACATAAAAAATACATCGTAATTTTTATTTTAGAAGGGTAACTGGATTTTTTATTGTATATGTACTTGCAAAAAGAAAATAATATATATTTTAATACTTAAAAACAAGTATTAAATAATGTAACAAAAAATGAAAATGGTAGATTAAGAGGAACACAATATTGAAATAAGCCTCTCCAAAGGACAAACACAAGTCATTGTGGTAGGAAAAGAAAGACGATAATATAGACTACTTTTCGCAGGAAGATTATATATCCAATGAAACCGGAAATGTTTTTTAAACATTAAAAAATTTGGAAATCGGAATAAAATAATATAGTTTACTTTTCGCAGGAGCATTTTATATCCATTGAAAACCAGAAATGTCCCTTATACATAAAACGACATTAGAAATTTTCAGCATGTACAGTAAAAACTCGCTAATCCGGATAATTGATTGCAGACCCCAATCCGGATTACCGAGATTTCCGGATTATCGAGTTTTATTAATTTGTTTATTGGTGATAATTTAATTATTTTTATGTTTTTATTAAAAATGAAAATTATTCATTTCAAAAATATGAACTTTGAATATTATAGGTACCATTTTCAATTAAATTTGCAATTTTTTTATTAAAATAAAAAGTAACAGAGTCAAATAGGTCAATCAATCCGGATTATAGGATATAGGATACGCAAGTTTATACTGTATGTTACAGTCAAATCGATTTGAAAATGCGGCCAACTTCTTTAATAATTTAGAAAATCGACGGTGAAATTTAATCTAGAAAATTTAAATCGACCTATAATGTATTAAGTATTAAGGAGTATTAAGTCTCCTACTATGTAAGCATAATTTGTTTGATAGATATGAGATTTATACCCGAACCTTATTCCCTGTAATAGATCCCATAAAAATACGTAGCTTTGCCAAAAATCTGTCATGGTTGTACTATAATATCTAATTTCCTTACTTATTTCCCTCCTCTTCCTCATTTAAATCATCTATGTAATTTCTTAACTTATTGCCTCATCTTCCTCATTTCAATCTGCTCCTTTTAAGGTATTTAGGATAAATACAATGGATCAGGGGTCTCCGAGTAAATGCAGCTGCTAAATAACTGGTGACTGGACATCCGTTACCTAACCTAAAATTGTTCAAATTATTACCCATATAGAAATACATTTCGATAATTAATAACCTTACCAGAAGGACGGATGGATATACATAAATCGAATCAAGAAGTGTTTCAAAGTATATCCTCCTTGTTTAGTAGGGTATAAAAAGTTAATACTTTCACCTCCTTTTCAGGTACTTAGGATAAATACAAAGCAGCTGCTAAATAAGTGGTGACTGGACATTCGTTAACCTAACCCTGTTCAAGTTGTTACCCATATAGAAATACTTTTAGACATAGTCAACTATTAACCTAACCAGTATATTTTGAGTCTGAGAAACACATCGACGCATTTTCCAACTTTAGAGGGTAAAAGCCAGCATAATCGGATGAGCTAACCATATAGCCTATAACAACCACTAAATTTAAATTTCTGCAAAGCTAAATTACAAACATGGCCAGCTAAATTTGCACTTTCCGGTGATGTGATGTCAGATCAACTTATCGGGTTATTTCTTCCCAGAGAGAACATATGCTCCAAATATGAAAAACTGATACATTTTCACACAAAAGTCTAGGTCTATTTGAGTTGCTAAATGTTGACCTATCATCATACAAACCGACATTCCTATTCACCTGCGATGTTAATATAATTATTGTGACCTCCATGCGTCTACAAAAAACAAATACCTATAAAGCTTTTGGTCGATTTCATCCCATCATGACCAGTCAAATTCGTGATATTTGCACTTTCCGATGGGGAAATATTACGAAAAAGTGATGTCAGATCAACTTATCGGTTTACGGGTTCCCGGCAAAAACATATACTCCAAATATGAAAATCTGATAAATTTTCACACAAAAGTTTAGGTCCATTTGAGTTGCTAAATGTTGTCCTATCATCATCAAAACTGGCATTCCTATTCACCTGCGACGTTTATATAATAATTATCACTTCCATGCGTCAAAAAAAAAAAAAAAAAAAAAAACAAATACATATAAAGTTTTGGGTCGATTTCATCTATTTAATATTAACCGATCATTATTCAAAATTATGGGCGTAGTTTTTGTGTAGAACCTAACGACAAAATTTCGTGACAATCGATCCATAACATATGTCTGTACTTCGATTGCAAGTTTTAGTGGGCAGACGGTCGGACACATATACGAGTAGCAAGATCAGTTCATCTAATCCAATCTATCTAATATGAATCTAACATGACGATCGATATTCTAAAAGTAGGTTTGGTTCCACGATTTCGTGATGTCACAAACTCTTGGGGCTATACATTTGATAATCCTAATAACTTCAAAAAATGTTGTGTATGGTATAAAAATGGACATTGGGACTATATAAAAAATATTTATAAAGATCCGAAGTATTGGTCCGACATTCCTTGTTTCTTAAATCTGTTGTTTACACGGATAGCTCAATGATGGAAAATGGTTCCGAGGATGTTGCTATACAGCAACACATCAAGCCTCTCAATCATATAGAATCTGAAATTAGTCTAAATGTCGTGGTATTTAAGAAAACAATGTTAGGTTTTGGGTAGGGTCAGCAGTAAAACTATTCGGAATCGACAGTCCTGTGAAATTATGATAAAAAAACTGATACTGAGCCACTATTCGAATTTTTATTAGCGAATCAAAATCTACTCTTCTCTCATCTGAAGAAAGATTCTAGCCGATGTACGTGATGAACACACAAAACCGAAACGTTATGTCTTCGGGAAAAAAGAGTTTCTGACACTTGCTCGTAGATTTGTTAAATCCCTCAAATGACTGTGGCCAAATGTATGAACAATTTTTGAAAGTTTCAATATCACTATCACCGTAATACGAAGCTTTGGTCCAAGATTTTAACATGTTTAAAATTTTAAAATTAAAACGCTTCATTGAAGATATTACCGCATATGATAGAATACCCTGGCATAGAAGCTTTGATTTCCAAATTCTCAAATCAATGATGTTTTTTCTCATTTCACCAAAAGAAAATATTTCTTCAACCATTTACGATCAATTTCTTTTCCAGCTCATTTTTAAATGTATATTTTTTCTTTTTCATTTCGAATATTGTGGTTGTGGTGGTGTGTGTTTGGATAAAAAAACAATAAGCGAGTCACAATTAAAAATTAAGGAATAAAGTGAAATAGAATGCATAAATATGTTACAAAAAATACTGCACTTACAAACTACTAACAAAAAAAAAACAATAATAATAATGACTAAATCTATTCATAACAGTGTAACATGGCATAAGTATTGAATTCATTAGAAAAAAATAACGTATATCTCATCGTTGCAAAATAATCAGGCGGAGAACTTCATATTTATACTTCATTAGAGCAATGGCCGTCTTTAGATGCCATAAAATATTAAGTGGTTTTACTTACTTCATCTATTGATGTTGTCGTCTACGATCTGTAAAAGAATAAAAGTGAGGAAGAGAAATTAATATTGGAAAAATTGTATTAAAAAAGTAATACGTTTACTTATTTTGTGGGACTATTAGTCAATTGTGGAACTGCAGAGATTGATGTGATTAATACGTAAATATCGACTATGAACAGCTTTGCGACAATGGACAATGGTATTTGGTTGTAATTAGGGAGTTAAGCTAATTTATAAGTCCATGTTTGCAACAATCAAGTCGCTCTCGAACCAATAAAAATGATAATAATGTAAAAGCACATTTAAAGACTCATCAAGAACTGATCTGAATGTTTATAGATTGTTTATATGAAAAAACCCAGTAAGGAAAGCAGTAAAGTCGGACGGGGCCGACTATATGATACCCTTCACCACTTTGGGTATATCCAACAGATGAAACCTAACAGACGTCGAATTTTTGAAGGACCAGGGACAAAATTATATAAGCTATATGGAAATCGTGCAAATCGAAAGATATATAGGAACTTTGGTACACCATTTACATAAAGTCGGACAAAACTATATATGGGAGCTATATCTAAATCTGAACCGATTTTCACGAAACTTAGCACACACCATTCCAGACCTAATTCATTAGGCTATATAGGGACTTTGGTGCGTTATTTACATAAAATCGCACGAACATATATATGGGAGCTACATCTAAATCTGAACCGATTTTCACAAAACTTTACATATGTAATTCTAGACTCAATTCAGTGCGCTACCAAATTTCGTGCAAATCGAAAGATATATAGGGACTTTGATGCACCATTTACCCACAATCGGACGAAAATATATATGGGAGCTATATCTATATCCGATTTTCACGAAACTTAGCACACATCATTCTGGACCTAATTCAGTACCCTATGATAAATGTCGTGCTAATAGAAAGATATATGGGGACTTTGGTGCCCCATTTACCTTAAATCGGACGAAAATATATATGTGAGCTATATCAAATTCTGACCCCATTTTCTCGAAACTTAACACACATGATTCTAGGTTTAATTCAGTACTCTATGCCAAATTTCGTGCGAATCGAGATAGGGACTTTGGTGCACCATTTACATAAAATCGGACAAAACTATATATGGGAGCTACATCTAAATCTCGAAACTTAACACACATCATTCTGGGCTTAATTCAGTATCCTATGCCAAATGTCGTGTAAATCAAGAGGTATATGCGGTCTTTGGTGCCCCATTTACCTTAATTTATACCAAAATCTGACCCGAAACTTAACACACATCATTCTAGGTTTAATTCAGTACCCTATGCCAAATTTCGTGAAAATCGAGAGATATATAGGGACTTTGGTGCACCATTAACATAAAATCGGACAAAACTATATATGGGAGCTATATCTAAATCTGACCCGATTTTCACGAAACTTAGCACTCATCATTCCGGACCTAATTCAGTACACTATGCGAAATTTCGTGCAAATCAATAGATATATAGGAACATTGGTGCACCATTTAAATAAAATCGGACGAACTATATATGGGTGCCATATCTAAATCTGAACCGATTTTTACGAAATTCAGCACACATCATTTTAGACTTAATTGAGTACGCTATGCCGAATTTCGTGAAAATTATAATATATAGGGACTTTGGTGCACTATTTACATAAAATCGGAGAAAAATATATGTGGGAGCAATATCTAAATCTGAACCAATTTTCACGAAACTTAACATATTTAATTCTAGACTCAATTCAGTGCGCTATACCAAATTTCTGAACAGATTTTTACGAAACTTAGCGCACATCATTCTGGACCTAATTCAGTACCCTATGCCAAATTTCGTGCAAATCGAAAGATATATAGGGACTTTGGTACACCATTTACATAAAATCGGACAAAACTATATATGGGAGCTATATCTACATCTGAACCGATTTTCACGAAACTTAGCACTCATCATTCTGAACCTAATTTAGTACTCTATGCCAAATTTCGTGCAAATCGAGAGGCATATAAGGACTTTGGTTCACCATTTACATAAAATCGGACAAAACTATATATGGGAGCTATATCTACATCTGAACCGATTATCACGAAACTTAACATATGTAATTCTGAACCTAATTTAGTACTCTATGCCAAATTTCGTGCAAATCGAGAGGCATATAAGGACTTTGGTTCACCATTTACATAAAATCGGACAAAACTATGTATGGGAGCTATATCAACATCTGAACCGATTTTCACGAAACTTAGCACACGTCATTCTGAACCTAATTTAGTGCTCTATGCCAAATGTCGTGCAAATCGAGTAGCATATAAGGACTTTGGTTCACCATTTACATAAAATCGGACCGAACTATATATGGGAGCTATATCTAAATCTGAACTGATTTTCAAGAAACTTGGCACACATCATTATAGACTCAATTAAGTACGCTAGGGAACTTTTTAGACCATTTACATTAATTTGAACGAAAATATATATGGGAGCTATATATAAATCTGAACGGATTTTATCCAAACACACACACGTCACACGTTATTCTAGACTCAATTCAGTACACTATGCAAAATTTCGTGCAAATCGAAAGATATATAGGGACTTTGGTACACCATTTACCTTAAATCGGACGAGAATATATATGGCAGCTATATCTAAATCTGAACCGATTTTCACCAATTAAGTGACTTGTGCCAAAGTTCATCCAAATCGGATCATAAATGCGACCTGTACTTTGTTTACAATTTAACATCTACAGACGGACAGACGGGTGGACGGACGGACATGCTTAAATGGACTCAGAAAGTGATTCTATGCATATTCTCAAAAGGAACCATGTGTCTATCTCGTTTCCATTTGCCTGTTACAAACATATGCACAAAGACATAATACCAGTGAAGGGTATAAAAAAGAGTAGTAAATGGTATTTATTTCCTATGATGTCTTTTTATGAGAGTTATATTATTTGAATATAACAAGTATTTAGAAAGTCGTATAAGTGGTCCGGCTTTATTATTTGTACACATTGGTGCAATGTGGATTTTCCCACATGTTTTCCGGTGTAAACAAATATTCAACTTATTTGTTCACCAACATCTGTTTACACTAAAGCAGGGAGAACAAGGAAAAATGTGTGTGCGTGTTATTTGTGCAATAATCCTTATCATCATGGATGTGGATTCTAAACAATAATTTTGAATAGATTTTTTCCATATAGCAACACTTGTTTATGTATCATTAGGGAAATATGTAACAACATTAGAAAATATGTATGCGTACATAAAATTAAGTTATCTCGGAAAGAAAACTTGTTCCATGGTAATGTATATAAATTGAAATTTATTACTAAATATAGCCCTACTAAATATTTCCAAAACTTTAATGATGGCACTAAAAATTATCTCTATACTTACAATTTGTATTAGATGGGCTAAGAGCATGACTGCTTGAGTGTCGTTTTATTTTTGATCGCGCTGTTGACGATGATGATGCTAATGCCGACGTTGATGTTTTGCTTGGAGTTTCTACAAACGCATCTTTCTTTACTGTATCACCATTTAATACTGGATCACTATAGGCAATAACTTTTGGTATTGTACTTTGATTTTCAATTTCTGTGTTGTTATTCATAGGCAATGATTTATAACGTTGGAATGATGTTCGTGGTTTTTTACTTTGTGTTGCTTTTTCAATGATTTCGTCCAAGGATACAAACCAATCATCGGGACAATCATCTTCAAGAAATTTCATATAGAAGGATGAACGTTTTTCTTTGGAAACAGAACCACAAGACGTAAAGAAAGTATCATCTAAATCCGAGGTGGTGGTAGAAGTGGTGGCAGTACTAGTTGAAGATGATGATGATGTTGATGGTTTATCAGTTGGCTTCGAAGATGATGGCTTATCAGTTGCCTTCGAATATGACGTTGATGATGGCTTATCAGTTGCCTTCGAAGATGAGGATGATGATGGCTTATCGGAGATCCTCGATGATGGGAATGATGATGGCTTATCAGTGTTCTTCGTTGACGATGGTTTTTCATAATTTTTTACTGAAGATGCAGGCTTCTCATTCATCTTCGCCACTGGGTTAGTGCTCGCTTTGGGTGTAACAGTATTATTGTTATTTGTTTTAACATTATCGCCATTCATTTTTGATTCGATTTCTTGTGTTGCTGCCAACAAGAAACAATCCTCATCAGAATCATTGAAGAAATCATCAATGGATTCTCCAGTCCCGAAGCTAATATCCATTGGAGATTCCATTTTTAGTGTCGATGATGTAGCCTGAGTGCTGCTCATTTCAACATCTACAGACATCGCCGCCGTTACCGTTGACGAGGAAGACGATGTCACAGTCTCACTTTTCTCTAGACCACTGCTACTAAGACTAGATGTTGATTTTTGCGTTCCAGCGCTTTTAAGTTGTTCCTGCAATTTTGCACACCGCTGCTTCAATTTTTGATCTGCCCGTGTCTTTTCAACCTTTCGCATTTGTTGTTCCCGCATTGCATCGTAGGCTAAACGCTCACGGTTGCGCGCATTGGAAATTTCTGTGCTACTGGAACCAGCCGAAGTAAAGCTGCTATCTGCTGCATATGCCGAGTCAGGTGTCCGTGAGGATAACTCCTCTTTGGAGCCCGCAGAATAGCGACTCCATTTCCAACCAACTTCTGGACTGTCGATAGCCAGTGTCTGTGACAAGAGACACGATGGTGAAAAACTGCTGTCAAATAGTTTCGGTGAATAATCACCACAGTCATCCACACACATTCCCATCCTTTTTGGAGGCGGAGTACAACATTCAATGCCACCATCTGAAGAAATCGAAATAATTGATGGAGATCGTGTTACTTCACCTCTTATGTTGTTGGAATCATGACTATTTAAGGCACTATTTGAAGCAGCTGTCCGCTTAATGGGCTGCGGTGAGGCTGCAAAACAAAACAATTAAATCCTTTGAACAAAACACCCCTAAATAGTTGGTTGGGGATTATGTTTTATTTTTAATTACCACTGTGCCGCTTGTTGTTTATGCGCGTACTCAGCGACAGCGATGACTTCCGTTGCAGTTTTGGAGTATTTTCCATATTGAAAAATTAATAATTTAAACTAATTTTTAATAGGTTTTCATTAATTATGTATTTAAAATGAATTATGTGCAAGAAAAAACATGAAATTTTCAAATAATACGGAGAAAACAAATGCGGGAACTAGATCAACAAGTGCGGCTTGTCAAAAATGTACTAAATTTGTTAAGTATGAAGCCGTGGCACTTTGTGTAAACGGCGTCAGTACACTAAACGCCGTTATTGATGAAACGCCAACTAACGGCGTTATCATTTTATTAAGTGTGGTACGCATCATATGTTAAAGGATGGATATTTGTGTTGCAATGGAAATTTGATAAAATTTGACTTTAAATTTGTGTATACGTATGACGTATCTCTATGAAAACGAAAATATCACGGTAAAATGAAATGAAAAAAATCAAATTAACACAACAAATTGTATAGTGTATATATTTCGTATTTGATGGAAGAAGCTAAATTTCCAAACCAAATTTGGTTTGTGATGTGATGTGATCATTTAAATTAAAGGACGACTCTGAGTTTATTTTCTTAATCAGGCTAAATTTACCATGATTTAAAATACAAATTTAATAGTACATTTACATACGCACTTTATATGATGTGGATTTACGAAATCCTGAAATTAAATAAAGGTTATTTACACTGTGAACAGTGAAGTATACCAATTAGCGTGCGTAAAGTTTGCTTTAAATCTTTTTACAAAGTAAAGTAAAGTAAAATTTTATTGAGACTCTTCTTCTTTTCGATAACATATTTAAATGTACTGAGAATGATTAGCCTAGTTAGAACTATATACGTCTTATTCTAACACTTGGAATGTGATATGCATCTTTGCAAACAGTAATAATATAAAATATATGCGAAAACATACAAGAGAGAGTGAAAAGGCTTGCTGCCGGCCTATAAATCTTTTTACAAAATAAAGAATAGTAGTACGTTTACATTTAACCGGATTTCGTTAACCCAGTGGGTTTCAATTGTCATTTCCTTTGCATATATGTCAAACAAATCCTCATAAAGTAGGTTAACTCGGTAAAAAGTTCTAATGTACAAGGAGTTTAGGATGCAGAATGGTATGGTTAATTTATAGATAAAGATCGCATATTTAAGTTCCTTCAAGTTCATGTCAATGTTAATTCGAAATGGCGATATCTGTTATAGTACGTTCACATTTAATTGGATTTCGTTAACCCGGTGGGTTTCAATTGTCAATTCCTTTGCATATATGTCAAATAAATCCTCATAAAGTAGATTAACCCTGTAAAAAGTTCTAATGTATATGCCCTTTTAGAATACATATGTAGATTATACCCAAAGTGGTGAAGGGTATCATATAATCGGCCCAGCCGACCTTACTACTTTCCTTACTGGTTAAAAATGTGAGTTAACCTATTTGCACCGAGCGGCTCATTTAATGAGAACAGTTGCAACTTTTAGTACTTTTTGGCACAAAAGCAAGATTGTATAATATAGAATGATGTTTTCGTGCGTTGTCATTTATTTTTGTATGGTAAATGACTAAAACTTGTGCCGGTTTAGGAAATACATGACGTAACAGCCCTAAATCCTTAATTTCCTGTTGTATAAAAATGCGATGTTATTGTATTTTAAATTCGTAATGAGATTAGCTACATATCCAAACAAAATGTAGTATTCTTGGTTCTTAATAATCAAAGGTGTGCATTATCTCGATTTAATTGCTAAATCGAGCTCTATTTGCCTCTATTTACAGTACACAATTAAATCCCCTCAATATCTCGATTTGCTCGAAATTCTGTGCTAAATCGAGATAATTTCAAATACAACACTCCTTAAACGACATTTACATTAGAACTTTTTACAGGGTTAACCTACTTTATGAGGATTTATTTGACATATATACAATGGAATTGACAATTGAAACCCACTGGGTTAACGAAATCCGGTTAAATGTAAACGTACTGTTATACACCCAAATATTAATCACTTCTCCTAAAAGTATGCTACAAAAATTAAAAATAAAAAATTTTGCACAGAGTACTGAATTAGGTCCCGACTGATGTATGCGAAATTTCTATATCTACAGGATATTGTAGATATTAACATGTCTTGCATGTACACATAGTGGTGAAGGGTATCATATAGTCGGCCCCGCCCGACTTTTGAACTTTCCTTACTATTTTTTTTTGGGTTCTTTGAATTTACAAACGGCTTCTTACGTGCGATTCTCTCATTTAGACCATTATTTTGAGGACTCTCCGCACTGTCTCGGCATTACAGCTCATATTGAAATGTTTCTCAACCATATCGCGTAGCTTCGATGCACTTAATCTTGGATTAATCTTAATTTGGTTCACAATCCACCTTTCCTGACGTTCGCTGAAGAGTTTTTTTGGGCTAACTTTTGGCTTATTTATAACACGCCCTTCATTTTTAAACAATTTAATGATGTTTGCAACTGTTGTCCGAGATTTATTAACGATAGCAGCAATTTCTCTTTGGCTTTTCCCTTCTTATAGTGGTCAATAATTAAATTTAGAAGCTCGACCGTAGTATGACGACCCATCGTGAAAATGAAATAAAAAGAACCAGTAACTCGATCTAAAATAATTATGTAGAATTATTATGGTGTATTTTTCTATTTATTATTACAAGAACATAATCTAACTAATTACTCCTATTTTGTTTTATATTTTTACTGTATTAAAGTGTTTTGTGACAGGTGGATCATTTTCACTGTGATCCACATATTTTTTAAACAATTATAGTACGTTTACATTTAACCGGATTTCGTTAACCCAGTGGGTTTCAATTGTCAATTCCTTTGCATATACGTCAAATAAATCCTCATAAAGTAGGTTAACCCGGTAAAAATTATAATGTACAAGGAGTTTTATAGGTCTTTCTATAGATTTAATTTTATTTACCGAATAAGTCATCATATTTTTTAAATAAAATTGTTGACGGAAATAGTTATGAGAGAAGCTACAGGTTTGTTACACCGTCTATGCTAAACCGTTTAGCATAGACGGTGTAACAAACATGTATCTTCTCTCATAACTATTTCCCCGAAGATGACTGTCGAAGACAGTCGATATATTGGAAAATAAAAATAAAAAAGCAGAAAACAAAATACTGAATTTTATTTAACCTTAAGCCGAAACAAATCCAAACAAGAAAAATAATACATCACAGGTTAACAAAAAATATTTTTTCTTAAGTTTACTCAATTTTTCTCTACACGACACAAAGTTTTATGTAGCACTGTTTACAGTAAAATAACAAATAGAATGAACCGGATTTTCATAAATTTCTCGAACACCCTAATATCCATGGTATATTAATAAGGTAACCGTATCAAGGCAGCTGATGGTAACATTATATGTCAACTATAATTTTGGATTCGCCGTAGGAAAATACAAAATGCAAATTTCAAACAAAAATTTAATAAAATTGTTTTGAAATCAATTTTATGAAATATTTAACAACTTGTGAGCAATGTGGTATATTCGGCCGGTCCACTGGTCTTAAATTTTTTATGGAGCTTAACCCCAATTGTGTAAAAGTCCCGCGACAATTATCTGATGTTTGATTCTCTAACAGCCACAACAAGATTAGAGTATTTGGAATAAGCAAACATTTTATATATACCATATCGGACCAAATACATCCTCATTTTAGATATGATTTTAGAGGAAAATGTATTCTTTCATATGATGCCATTTATTCGAACTTTGTCTTCCCCGAGTAAATATATAGGTCATACAATTATGTTTTGGTTATTATTCACACAAAATCTAACATATCATGTTTACTGTCCATTATTAAGACATAATTGTGACCCAAAGAGCAACCAAACCTTTCATTACCAAAAACTATGGGTGCTGCCATTGGCCAAAACCGAACCTAAAAGCGAAATATCAGAACGATTGATTCAGCAAATAGAGATATGACCAATCCGGTATACGAAAGGGTGGGTATAGGGCTAACATTTCGTGGCGTTATAAACACATTTTCAGCGTGAACCACATATTTAAATCACTCCACCGCCATTTTATTGCATTTACAAATACGGATTTTAATTTTTATGATGATTTTCATTTATAAAATTATAATTTGATCAAATGAAAAGAATTTCAAAACAAAAATTATAAGTAAAATAATATTTTTTGATACTTCAAAATTCGGTGTTCTGATTGGTAGAAAACAATTTGCTTCAAAATTGATATGTCAAAGCGAATTAATTTAAATTCGCTTTGTTTGCCGTTTTGACATATCATGTTCCCAATTCGCCGATGCGGCTACCTTATATATCTACCAAGGTATATTTAATAAGGTAGCCGCATCGGCCCAGCTGTTGGACAAATAAATGTCAAAAATGTTGTTGTAATGTTGAACCAAAAAATTAAAAAACAAAATTATAAATGAAAATCTCCGAATTTCGAAAAGCTTTTTTGGCACTACTTTTATTAACATTTTCTACAAGAATTTTTGTAAAAAAATCTTGTCAATCTGTTTGTTTTTGCAAAATATTTTTGACATATCAAAATACAACAACCGATGTTTGTTGTAGAAATTCGCCGATGCGGCTACCTTGTATATCTACCTTGATATCTACCTTGCTAATATCTAATGAGCACTGGCATTGGAGAGAGTGTTGTCTGAGTTGGACCAATCAGAATCGTTTGCGTGTGTGCATGCAAACAAAACACAGCGTTGCTCCGGATGGTATATGACAACAAATATATTTTAGTCGAATTTATTTCAAAAAAATATTAGTTATAAATAAATATTAAATGAAATTAAAAATATTGGCAAATATAAATTATTTTTATATATTTTGAAGTTACTTTTCTTAATTTTGTAGTTATTTTATTTGGTTGCTCAGTTGCTGCCATTTTAAAACAACCCTGCCCATACAGCATTTGCCGACAACAAAGAGAGCTGACAAGTCAAGTTGAATGGCATCTCTGCCTCATTAGTTGTTTGAACATTGGAGAGTAAACAGTTAGGTCGGGTGTAGTGCAGAATTTCTTTTGCTTTTGGAAATAAAGGGTGGAAAAACCAACCTGCATTTTTCAAGCAGACGTGGCCAATATAAACGATTTTTCACTGTGATTATTAATAATAGTTAACAAATAGTTACAAGAATAATAGCAATAATGAAGTATCTACTTTTCGTTGGATTGTTATTGATTGCGGGTAAGTTTTGTGTGAAAATGCCGAAAAAAAGAAATTATGCCGGTCTTCTCTTTAGAAAATTTGGCAATTGTGTTTTGTGTATTTGTTTTTTCTTTATTGGTTTTGTGAACTTTATAATGATTTTTTTAAAAACAAAAAATTAACATATTGTGTTTTTTTAGGTTTTGCCCAAACAAAGGCCGATGATGCTAAAGAAGAAATTGCCACTGAAACTGTTGACTTGAATTTGGGATCATTCAAAGAAGGTTCTAGAACCGGTACGTAGTACTCTCCTCCTCCCCTATGTTTTTTATATTGTCTTCTGTATTAACTTCAACAACCAACAACAACAACAAAATTATTATCACAAATCATTTAACTTTTACTGACATTGCTTTCGTAGTCGTTGGTTGTTGGCTGGTGTTGTGTTGAATGGTCAATAATTACCACGTCAGAATAATCGCAAACGTACCCACATACCTACTAACTTGTAATCTATTTGTCAATGAGATAAAATCTAACAATTGATTTTTTTTTCCTGAAGTTATTTTGTAATAAAATTATATTATTCTATTTTTTCAGATACCGATGCCGTTCAACGTGAGGAAGAAGCCATTAAATTGGATGGTCTTAATGTTGCCCAGTTGAAGGAAATCCGCGAAAAGGTATGAATGATTATCAAAAAAAACATTATACGCCCCCAATTTGTCATCTTTCACTTTTTTACGAAATGAAAGGGAATACCTGTTTGAAAGCATACAAAATTAGGTCATGCTGTCAATTATTATGGTCATGATCTTTTATTGTAGAGCGGTCATGCTGGTCAATATTTGGAGAAAGCAAAAAATAATTCGCTTTGTTGTAATATGATAGATATTTGTTTCAAAGACCACAGCCCTACACCCCTACCAAATGTAAAATGTAATTGAACAAAATAATGTTCATATTTTGAGAGAAGTCATTCTGGTCATTAATACATCGACATTTTGTTTTTGATATCGAACATACGATTCTATCAATGCTAATATCGATAATACTTATAATGATGTGTTAAACATAGAGTATAATGAATTCTAATTTCTAGAAAATATTTCAATATACCAACTCTCTTCTCATATCGTCTTAATCATACGAACGTTATTAAAGGTCAAGTTCTTTCTTCCCTATTGGAAACTTTCCTATAAACTCTACTGGCCCTTGAAAAAATTATATTTTCAAAATCTACGCTCTACTCGCCCTTGGAAAAATTTTCTTTCAAAAAAATATTTTATAAAAAATATTCGCCTTCAGGCCCTTGAATAAATATTTTTTCAAAAATCTAAGCACAACTGGTCTTTGAAAAAATATTCTTTTAAAAATTTGCGCTCTACTGAAACAGTTAAGGATGTGTGTCCGCTCCAAAATATTGAGGGCCTAAGCAGAATAGATGAGACATACTATATAAGCAGCGTCGATCTAAAATATGCCTTTTGACAGATCGAACATGATATTGAGAGCCGAGCCTACAATGCATTCACAGTCCCAGGCAGCCCTTTATGCCGTTTGGACTATGTAATGTGGCACAACGCTTGTGTAGGCTAATGTATAAAGTCATACCCTCTCGCTTTACGGAGAATGTTTTTATCTACCTAGACGACTTGCTAGTAATATTCAGCGATTTCAATGACCTTGCTCTTTTTAGGCACTCGGCCACATCATTTAAAAGACGTAAATTTAAATGATGTGGCCGAGTGCCTAAAAAGAGCAAACCTAACAATAGGGTTAAAGAAGTCTCAGTTTTGCTTCCGGGAACTGAGTTATCCGGGGTTTATAATTAGGGATGGGAAATTAAAGGCGGACCCAGCTCTACTGGTCGTTTACTGAAAAAAATATTCTTTTAAAAATCTACGATCAACTGGTCCGTGAAAAAATATTATTTTAACAAAGAAAGAAATTCTTTTAAAAATCTACGACCAACTGTCCCTGAAAAACATTCTTTTAACAATTTACGCTCTACCGGCTCTTAAAAACATTCTTTAAAAAATTCTTTAAACAAATTTTAAAAATATATGCTTTACTTGGCCTTGAAAAAAATATTCATTAAGAAATCAACGCTCTACTGATTATAGAAAAATATTCTTCAAAAAAAAAAAATCAGCGATCTATTGGTCCTTAAAAAGTATTGTTTTAAAAATATACACTCTACTGGTCCTGGAAATAAAATTCATTAAAAAATCTACTACATACTAGTCCTAAAATTATACATTAGAATATCTAAGTTCTATTGGCGCTTAAAAATAGTCATAACTAGTCAACCTGGAAAAATATTAATTAGAAATATCTACGCTGTGCGGAATCTTGACAATATATAATTTAATAGCTAATATACGCTCTTTAGGCCCTTTTTTGTATTAAATGTATGAGTGTCTTAAGTATAGTTGGTTGACCGCTGACTCTATCACCTTGCATTTCCTCTTTTGTGAATGTAATAAAATACCATTGTGGCTATGTTACAACTCTTTAGCGCCATCAAATTACAAATTACATAGAAATGCTTTCGCCATTTCCTTTAACACATCAATTTTCTAGCTTTCATATTTCTCTTCATGACAGACTATGTAATTGTTCCCCACATGTAATAAATACCACCGTGTTTATAGACCAACAAAACATTTACCACCAACGTCGTTTTGTGTGAAACCTTTTAATAACCACTCTCCTTTCTTTTTCTTTTATAGGCTGAGAAGTTTAACTTCCAGACCGAAGTTAATCGCATGATGAAACTGATCATCAATTCCTTGTATCGTAACAAAGAGATTTTCTTGCGTGAATTGATTTCCAATGCCTCTGATGCCATCGATAAGATTCGTCTTTTGGCCCTCACCAACAAGGAAGAATTGGAAACAAATCCAGAGCTCAGCATACACATTAAGGCCGATAAGGAAAATAAAATCTTGCACATTATGGATACCGGTATTGGTATGACTCATCAGGATTTGATCAATAATTTGGGTACAATTGCCAAATCGGGTACTGCTGATTTCTTGGCTAAAATGCAAGATCCCACAAAGGCAGATGGCCAGGATATGAACGATATGATTGGTCAATTTGGTGTTGGTTTCTATTCGGCTTTCTTGGTTGCTGATCGTGTTGTTGTCACCACCAAACACAACAATGATAAACAATACATTTGGGAATCGGATGCCAATAGCTTCAGCATTACAGAAGATCCTCGTGGTGATACTCTGAAACGTGGTTCAGTCATTTCATTGTACTTGAAGGATGAAGCTCAAGATTTCTTGGAACAAGATACTTTGCAAAATTTGATTCGCAAATACTCACAATTCATTAACTTCCCCATCCGTTTGTGGACCAGCAAGACTGTTGAAGAAGAAGTTCCCGTTGAAGAGGAGAAACCCGTCAAGGAAGACGAAGAAGAAAAGGAAAAGGATGAAACTACCTCAGAAGATGATGTTCAAATCGAGGAGGATACCAATGAAGAAGATAGCGATAAACCCAAAACCAAGAAAGTTTCCAAGACCGTCCATGACTGGACTTTGATCAATGACAGCAAACCCATCTGGACACGTAAACCTAGTGATGTTACCGAGGAGGAATACAATGAATTCTACAAGAGTTTGACCAAGGATACCAGTGAACCTTTGACCCACACTCACTTTATTGCCGAAGGTGAAGTTACATTCAAGAGTTTGTTGTACATTCCTAAGATACAACCCTCCGAATCATTCAATCGTTATGGTACCAAATCGGATAACATCAAGCTGTTTGTCCGTCGTGTCTTTATCACCGATGAATTCAACGATATGATGCCCAACTATTTGAATTTCATTCGCGGTATTGTTGACTCCGATGATTTGCCATTGAATGTGTCTCGTGAAACTTTGCAACAACATAAATTGATTAAGGTCATTAAGAAGAAATTAGTACGCAAAGTATTGGATATGATCAAGAAGATCAGCAAGGAGGAATACGAGAAATTCTGGAAGGAATATTCAACCAAGTATGTATACATTTTTTTAAAGATATACATAATTATATTTAAGGCCCTTGAAAAATATTCATTGAAAACACTACATTCTATTGACTCCTAGAAGAAACATTCTTTAAAAATTTTACGCTCTACTGACTCCTTGAAAATTTTTGAAATACTAAAAATACTAATTATTATTATTCTCTCTACCTATTTTTCAGCATTAAACTTGGCATCATGGAAGATCCCAGCAATCGTTCACGTCTTGCTAAACTTTTGCGCTTCCAGTCGTCCAATGGTCAAGGTGTTACCTCGCTGGCCGAGTATGTTGAACGCATGAAGCCCAAACAACAAAATATCTACTTCATTGCCGGTGCCAATCGTGCTGAAGTTGAAAAATCTCCCTTCGTTGAACGTCTCTTGGCCAAGGGTTACGAAGTCTTGTATTTGGTCGAAGCTGTTGATGAATATTGCATTTCTGCTTTGCCCGAATTCGATGGCAAGAAATTCCAAAACGTTGCCAAGGAAGGTTTCAAACTAAACGAATCGGAAAAGAGCAAATCCAAATTTGAAGAATTGAAGAGCACTTTCGCCCCATTGGTGAAATGGTTGAATGAAGTTGCCCTCAAGGGACAAATCTTGAAGGCTGAAGTTTCGGAACGTCTAAGCAATTCACCATGTGCTTTGGTTGCTGGTATGTTCGGCTGGACCGGTAATATGGAACGTTTGGCCATGTCCAATGCCCATCAAAAGGCCGATGATCCTCAACGTACCTACTATTTGAACCAAAAGAAAACATTGGAAATCAATCCCAGACATCCATTGATTCGTGAGTTGTTGCGTCGTGTGGAGAGCGATGAAGCCGATGAGACCGCCAAGGATATGGCTGTTATGATGTTCCGTACAGCGACATTACGTTCCGGCTTTATGTTGCAAGAAACTGCCGACTTTGCCGATTCCATTGAGAGAATGATGCGCCAGACATTGGGCGTTTCACTGGATGAACAAATTGAAATGGACGAAGACGATGATGAGGTCGAAGAAACTGAAGAAGCTGCCGATGAAAATGCCTCCAATGCCGGCAATGACAATGAAGATGATGAAGATAACCACCACGACGAACTTTAAAAAGATTTGGCTGGCAAAAAAAGCATTTCATTAACTACTACTACTAGTTTTTAGACTGAATTTATAGTTTCGTTTTAGGAAAAGAAGCTCAGAAGACACATTATAGGAACATGTAGCATTATCACCGTGGGATGTAAGGATTTTTTTTACTCCTTCCCACAATCCATTTACTAAACATTCATTGTTTTTTGCTTTAAGTTACTTACACACATATCTTGTATATTTGTATTTTTTTTTTTGTATATATTTTTTAATTTATTTCAAAATACTCCGAGCAATTCTTTAATTTTTGTTCTAAAGAATTACTCGGCTGGTTGCAAACATTCAAATTTAAACTAAACGAGAAATGAAAACAAAAAAAAACGAAAATATTTTCTATGATAAATATATATTTTTAAAAATGAATACCCCGTTATGTGTTTTTCTTTTTGTTTTGTTTTATCAATAACTGAAAGTTTTTGGAAGAATCGTTTGAAGCTCCCCCAAGAAAAAAGTATATCCCCTTGTTAGGGTAGAAATACCTACATCTGGAAAATTAAAAAAAAATAGTATTTATAAAGTAAAGTTTTTTCTAATATATCCAAACATAAATCAAGAGCGTAGGTGGGAAATATTGGTCCGTCCATTCCATCTTGTACCTCCTACATAAAATGGTAAAATTTTTTCTGAAAATTAATTTTATAATATAATGCACATGCCTATTTAAAGTTGGAAGATGGGACTTATCGGTCCACTCCTAGTTCCTTCCCCGTAAAGGGTCTTCTACATTGTGAAAAGTGATATATCACGGAGCGAACGAAATATCCATGTCATCTAGACTCTGTACATGGCTATATTTTCTTTACATAGATCATGCTTGAATATGTCCACTCCTTCAACATTTTAAAAATCTGATAATCGTAATATTTTACTAAACCTACTTTAAATCCATCGAGGTCTATATGGCGACCTATTTTGGTACCTCTCAACAGATGTTCACTTCATTGCTAAATATACGCGTACTAGCGGGCAATTAGCCCGCTACTTCGTATGCGGAAAGGAAATCGTGAATACTGTATAATTTGTTGTACTATAGTTCTGAATTCCACCTTTATTCCTACATCTAAAATCAAGTTTATTATTATTTAGTACTCTTCACACATAAACACTATTTTCCGCAACTTCCTTCTTATTTCCGTTACACAGATTAAAAATAGATTAGAATTCCAATTATATATTTTATATATTATATATTTTAGGTTCCACATTTATCACTTTTCGAACACATAAGTACACATACACAAAGTTGTCTCCATTGCTCAATACTACACTTCAAAAGTAATTTAAATTTGTTCCAAATTTAGTACCATTTAGTACTTTTCACACTCATAAGTCAAAATTTCTAAAACTACATCAATCTTGGACTCTAACAGTAATCTTAATCCCACCAAAGTCCAATTTAACCAAATTTAGTACTTTTCGTACTAAAAAGTACGAATTTCTAAATGTACCTCAATCCTGATTTCAAATAGTAATCGTTATGAACACTGGATGAACAAATTGAAATCGACGAAGACGAAGATGATGTCGAAGAAACTGAAGAAGCTGCCGATGAAAATGCCTCCAATGCCGGCAATGACAATGAAGATGATGAAGATAACCACCATGACGAACTTTAAAATGAGTTGGCTGGCAACAGAAGCATTTCATTAGCAACCACTACTGATACTACTACTGATTTCAAATAGTAATCGTAAGTCAAAATTTAAGAATCCCAGCTCCGTCTGTTCATTAAAAAACAAATTGTACCAAATTTAGTGCAGTTTAGTACTTTTCGTACACATAAATACGAATTTCCAAAGATGTCTCTATACCTCAATCTTTATTCTAAATTTCCGATTTTCAGCTCTTTCCGTTCTCCCAAAATCCTAATTGTACTAAATTTAGTATCATTTATTACTTTTCGTATCAATAAGTACGAATTTCCTAAACTACCTCAATCCTACACTCCAACAGTCATTTTAATTCCCAATTTAAAGACATCAGCTCTATCTTTTCATCTAAATCCAACTTGCACCAAATTTAGTACCATTTAGTACTTTTCGTGCACATAAGTACGATTTTTTAAAGCTATCCTGTACTACAATAGTAGTCCTAATTCTGATTTTCTGGCTTCCAGAAAAAATAAACTGTAACTAATCGTGCGCAAAGTGCCGAACAATACAAGGTGGCAACAGTGAATCTTGTTCCAATATTAATAAATTTTGATAGGGAGATATTCTACTCCATGATAATCCAAACGTAAAATTGGTAGAAAGGCCTGATCCAAGTCACCAAAATATCGAAAATTGGGAGGTACCTTTATATGGAGCTTTCCCTAAACATGATCACAATAAGTACCCAGAATACCAAGTGGGAGTCAATTCGGTAATATGGGGCTATAACAAACGTATATCTATATATCAGATTTTAAATTCACCATAGAAATTCATTCTAATCTTGAATGTATATACCTTATGGTGTCTCCGGTAAATATTTCGATGTGATGCATGTTATTTGCATGAACAACCTGGAGAAAGACCACAAAAGTAATCATGAAATCTCTGTAAACGGTCTGCAACTCCAATACAAAAATTTATGTTGTCCCGTAGCCTTTGTGGTAAAATTCGAGCATGTGGGATGGTATGTTGCTGTTATAACCCAACGTTTTGAACAACACTCATTTGGCATTCCGTATTATACATGTTCTCATACCAACGGCGTGTTTCGGATCCCTGAACTACTTGAACACGTTTCCGAATTTCATCGAAAAATTATCTCGACTGCATGTTCTTGAGGCTTTCGACGTCCAAGTAGCATAATAAATTAAGCCTGTAGAGCATAAACACCATCATGCATTAAATGCATTAAAACTATCCGAAATTCAATCAACCAATTTAAACGCAAATAGTACTAAAATTAGTACCATTTTGTACTTTTTATATAAATATGTATTAATTTCATAAACCATTACCATACATCAACACCACTTCCCATCCTGTATACTATACTTACTTATTTAGTAAAGTTTAGTACTTTTCGTACACTTTTATGTCGAATTTTCAAAAACCCTTTTGCACATCTATCCAACTTTCTATCAGTGATCCACATTCCAAATATAAGAATTTTGGCTATTTTCGTTCACTTAATACAAAGGGTACCATATTTGGTACATTTTAGTACTTTTCGTACCCTTCTAGTTCGAATTTCCAAAAACCCAGCCTTATCACAACAACAACACAGTAGTGACCTGTAGTGAAAAAGTATCGCACGAAAATGGTCACGAGGAGTTAATTCAGTTTCTGATTTTTCAGGTGAGTCTAGCACCAATATTTCGTGGTGTTACAAACTCTTGGCGACAGACAAACTTATATTACGCTAACAACATTGTTGTATACACTACAAAAAATAAAAACTATTTAATTTATTTTTTATACATATTAAAATTTATTTTTTTAACTTCTATTTAGACTTGACATTTTTAATATATTTACACATTAATTTGTGTGTTTTTTTTGTAACAAAGGACTTTTAAAAAAATACTAGAAAAATACAAAATTTTATTTTGAAAAGAAGTAATGTAATGGTACTGCACAAAAATTTAACCTACGTACGTAATTTAAAAATGTATTTAAATGGTGAATGAAAGCACAGCTTTGTTTATAGAAAAAAAGAAAAAGAAATGTAGCAAAATAACTAAATGAACGAAAATACAACTTTTTTATAAACATATATAGGATTTTGCATATATGCATATATATAAAATGTATATAAATTATTATATCATAGATCATCTAAAAATGAACATTCATTTTCTGCATCGGTATATGATTTATAGGCTTCTTGATCGACAATTTGTTGTATGGCATCTGAACGATTTAAATTGTAGCGTTTCATAAATACCCGCAATATCCATTCTGGTAAGAGAGCATTGGCATACAATGTGGCTTGCTAGAAAACATATTTCATTTTATTATTTAATATGTTTAAAAATATATATGTAGATATTAATTGTCTTACCGATGTACTATTATTGCTATTATATTTTTCCGATAATTTCTCCATCATTTTAAATTGTATTTTATGATCAATTAGGCCAATCACAAGGCAATGATTAACGCCATCATAACTTTTGATATAATCTTTTTTACGACATTTTTCATAGATTTGATCCAAATCGGTTTGATAAAGAGAAAATGTTTCCATTAGATCTGTAAAGGACATATCCTTAAGGGAACTGGAAATATACAAATAATGTGAGATTATTAACAAATTCGATTGCATAGTTTTTTTTCTTCATAAAAATTTTCATGGAAATTAACTAAGCTGTGTTCGTCTTTTCGGAGTGTGTAATAAGACATCACTGGTTTAAGTAAATCTTCGAGTTTTATTTGAAACTAGCATATGCCTGCTACTTCGTTAGCGAATGTGGGTAATATTTAAACATGTATTAACATATTATTTTATTTTCAAAGAAACCGGCATATGTCAGAAAAACTAAACAATTTACACATTAATATCGACCATAAATTGAATTTGAGTACCATTTAGTACCAAATTTCACGATTCGAGCTTTAAAGGTTCACCCAAATCCAGATTTTATCAAATTTAGTTCCATTTAGCACACATTATTTCCATAAGTACCTTCCCCAACCATCCAACAAAACTTCCTGCATACCCCGATCCTACACAATGATTCCAAATTCAAATTTCAGGATTTCAACTCTATTATTTCACCCACAATTCAAATTGTACCAAATATAGTTCACAGTAGTACGAATTTCCAAAACTTCCTACTTAAACCAAACCTTCACCCTACAGTCAACCAAAATCCAAGTTTCAGGTTTCCAACTCTATCGGTTCACCCACAATTCAAATTGAACCAAATTTAGTACACAAAAAAAGAATTTCCAAACCTTCCCACATACCCCATTCCTACATATCCACAGTTTTCCTAAATAAATAAATAAAAATTTCAAAATTCCAACTCTATTTGTTCACCCACAATTCAAATTAAACCTAATTAAGTACACAGTAGTACGAATTTCCAAAACTTCCCACTTAATCCAAATCTTCACCTCACAGTGAACCTTAATCCAAGTTTCAGGATTCCATCTCTATCGGTTCACCCACAAATCAAATCGTACTAAATTTAGTACATAGTAGTACCAATTTCCAAATCTTCCTACATAACCCAATCCTACACCTCCACAGTGTTCCTAAATCAAAATTTCAGGATTCCAACTCTATCGGTTCCCACACAAATCAAATCGTACTAAATGTAGTACAAAGTAGAATCAAATTTCCAAACCTTCCCACATACCCCAATCCTACACCTCCACACTGATCCTAAATCAAAATTTCAGGATTCTAACTCTATCGCTTCACATACAATTTAAATTGTACCAAATTAAGTACACTTAGTACAAATTTCAAAAACTTCCTACATTCCCCAATCCTACACCTGCACTGTGATCACAAATCCAAGTTTCAGGATTCCAACTCTTTCGGTTCACTCACAATTCAAATTGAACCAAATTTTGTACACATTAGAACAAATTTCTAAAACTTTCTACATATCTCAATCTCACACCTCAACAGTGATCCTGACTCCAAATTTCATGATTCTAGCTCTATTGGTTCATCTAAAATAACAAAGTTTCCCATTTAATACCCATAAGTATTAATTTCTTAAACTGAATCCAGACCCCAATCCCACACCTCTACAGTGATCCTGACTCCAAATTGCATTGTTTCCACTCAGTCGGTTCACCCAAATCCAAACTGTACCGATTATAGTACGATTAAGTACTTTTCGTACACATAAGTAAAAAAATTCCAAAACGTTCATATCCTAGGGGAGTTGCCAATCTCCTACTAGGGGCGTCTTCCCGGGTGGCGCATGGGAAGGGGGTCTCCATGATGTGCAGAGTGAAACTGACCTAGGTCTCCGAGATCAACTTTTCTCTGCACTTCGTGGAAACCTTGGGGCTCTTCGGATCCCTTTATAAATCAACTGCCCTTAAATAAATCAACTGCAATGGGTAAAAGAAGTAAAAAGAATAAAGTTACGGTGCAGGGAGTTAATAACCCAGTACCGGCGGCAATCGATGGTGAGGTCACAAGCCACGTGTCGTCGAGATCAAGCGATTGTGATCCGGCTGTTCTAGGTGTGGATGCCTTGGCACATGCAGCTGTATCTGTTACAAGTGCATCAATTAAAAACCAAAACGTTGACGAACCGGACTGATGATAATCAGTCTTTGGCTGACAGGACTGCAGTTCTGGGACGGGACGACCTACACGGGACTCTACGCGCTATCCGCGATAGGCCAGAGGAGCAAAGTAAGGAACTCTTCGACCAGTTGAACAGACTGGTACCTGAAGAGCAATGTGGGGATACGATTCCGGAGGAACTGCTATTGAATCTTACCCTAACTGATGATGAACACCACGGGGATTGCTGTAGTAGTAACGAAGGAAGCGCAGACCCTGTTGACCGACCGACTTCCAGTCTGACTTCAATAGGCCCTGTGTCGGCACCCGCCGACAAACTTCAGAGGCAATCTGCAACGGAGGCGATGTCCGACGATGGGGAATCTTTTCAGACCCCAGCAACGGACAGCGGCTCAAAGGTTGGGAAGGCCCGAGAAGTAGCTGATGAGAAGCATTTCAAATGTACTGTTTCGTATCTCCACAAATTCGTGGGGCGAGACGTGAATTTGATCTCGGAAAGGGAGGTACACCTCATGACCTTAAATGGAACTTACATTTCAACCCTCACTCGCATTCTAAAATTTCAAGTTTTTGGCTCTATCCATTCAGTACATTTTAGTACTTTTCGCATACTTATAGTTCGAATGTCCAAAAAACCATTTGCTATATCTATTCTACAATCCATCAGTGACCCTCATTTTAAATTTATGAGTTCTAGCTCTACCGGTTCGCCAAATACAAATGGCATCACAGCCTTATCTGTCACCATTGGACCAAGAGTGAACCTCACCCAAAATTTCAAGATTCTAGCTTCAGCCGTTTCGTTTGGCCGTTGATGAATCGTTAAATCGGTCAGTCAATCACTTTACTCTTTTATTAGCACATTTTGCGAAGGGGATACTTACAGTTGCTCAACTTGTTTCGGCACCACATTAACTCTCTCCAGGGCAGCTTTAAATTTTTCATTATCTTCCGATTGTTGTTTAGCTTTGCTGCGCATCATTTCCAACTCTTTTTCCGTGGGCATAACAATTTCCATTGGTTTGGGTGAGGGTGATTTGGCGCGTTTACTCTTCTCGTCTTTTGCAGTTGATTTAATTTTTTTGGATGATTTCAAAGACGATTTAGGAGATTCATTAGGTTCAAGTTTCTTTTTACCCAACCATTTAGTCATACCGGCTTTTTCTTGTTCACAATCATCACGTTTGCGTTTCTTTTTCGCCGACGATGATGAGGAGGAGGATTGCAATAAAATCGATTTCATTTTCTTATCCGGTTTGGGAGTTTCAAATGCTGATGGGATTTTGCAACTGGCATTATTGTTGTTATCCTGTTCGTCATCATCATCGTCCGTACCGAAAAGTTCTTTATTTTTGGGCGAGGTTTTTGGAATCGTTTTACGTTCATATCGCTGCCCGACTTCTTCAATGAATCGTTTTGGTTTTGATGGTGAGCGACCGGAACGTCTTAACTGTGGTGAAGTTTCTGTTGATAATTTCCTATCTTTGTGGTCTTCTTTATTTTCCGCTTCTTCGTTTGTTTTATTTTTATCATTTGATTTATGCTTTTCCTTTCGTTTGTCCTTCTTCCTGTCTCCTGATTCATCTTTACTCTCTTCCAAAGATGTATTTTTCTCGTGCTTCTTTAATTTTTGTTTAGATGAGCTGGCCTCAAATTCATCTTCACTTATGAAGTTTTGAGGTTCCTCGATTGTTTCAGTCTCATTTGATGATTGTTTATCTTTTCGTTTTTTTTCCTTATCCATATTTTTCCTGTCTTTTTGTTTTGAGGCATTTTTCTCAGACTCTTCTTCGATGGATGCTAATAAACTGCTGCTTGCTTTGGTATCCTCGGAAGTTCTGCGTTCTTTTGCCAGACAGTCCTTTGTTTCTGATTTTTTCCGAGAATTTCTCGGTTGAGGCACTTGTTGTACTTTTTTGTCCTTCTCATCTCTGGGAATTGATTTGTCTCTTTCTCTTTTGTGTTTCATTACAACATTTTCAAAATCATATTCACTTGAAGTACAAGGTGTTTCCTTGCTCTGGTCATTCGCCTTAGATTTTGTTGATTGTTTGCCATTTTTATCCTGGGATGCCTTATCCAGATCATCTTCGCTGGATTCTTGATATAATTTCTTGATATCCTTGGATGTTCGTTTTTCCGCATTTGCATCATCTTCATTACTTTTTCTGGGCTTTGCTTTCTCATCCGTTTCGGATTTTTCCTCTTTGCTGCTCGCAACATCCTTTTCAAGCTTGGCTTTCTTTTTAGTTTTAGTCTTTATTTTCTTTTGCTCATCAAGTTCACCTTCTGGTTCCTCCTTTTCGATTGGTGTAGGTTTATAAGCAGGTACATTTTCAGACATTTCCTGGCTATGTGGTATATATTCGCTGTTGGCCTTATGTATACCATGTTTGTCTCTGACGCGAATCGATCTATGAGTTTTTGTTGGCAAAACATCTTCATCGGATTCGAGTATAACTTCATTATAGCCATCGGGTGAAGGTTTGTCTTCAATGGGTGCAGGCTTATAAACCGGAATTGTTATCTTGCTGGCAGCTAAATGTCTTTCAATATTCGGTGAGTAGGTATCTTCATTGCTATCAAATCCTAAAAAGTCTAATCCCGGTGTTTTGATTTTATCAACATTGGTGATTTTACCAGGAACTTTTTTTGTTGGTGTATACGGTTCGTATGACAGGGGACTTATGGATTTTTCCTTATTTACCGATGCATACGGATCGTAATCATAAGGATCATATTCATCTGCGGGTATTGAGGGTGTGGGGGGAAGCTGAAATAAAAAATATATAAATATAAATAAGTAAAAACTTCGCTAAGATCGATCAAATCGGACTTGTTATATATCCTTCACCATGAGGGTAGTATCCATGTCCCTCGTGGGTTTTTAAAGACATTTTTGGAGTTCATGTTCAGTGAAATAAGAGTGGATTTTTTCAATTTCAATTTTTTGGAACTCCTCTTTGGTGAAATAGGCTTGGATTATTAAAAGGGTTTGTTGGAGCTCCACTTTATTGAAATAGGCGTGGATTTTTAAATAGATTTTTGGAGCTCCGCTTCAGTAAAATAGGCGTGGATTTTTAAATAGATTTTTGGAGCTCCGCTTCAGTAAAATAGGCGTGAATTTTTAAAGAGTTTTTTGGAGCTCCTCTTTAGTTAAATAGGCGTGGATATTTAAATAGATTTTGGGAGCTCTGCTTCAGTAAAATAAGCGTGGATTTTAAATAGATTTTTGGGTTTTAAAGCATTTTTGGAGCTCCTCTGTAGAGAAATAGGCGTTGGTTTTTAAAGCATTTTTGGAAATAGGGGTGGATTTTTAAAACATTTTTGGAGCTCCTCTTTAGTGAAATAGGCGTGGATTTTAAAAACATTTTTTGGAGCTCCTCTTTAGTGAAATAGGCGTGGATTTTTAAAACATTTTTTGGAGCTCCTCTTTAGTGAAATAGGCGTGGATTTTTAAAACATTTTTTGGAGCTCCTCTTTAGTGAAATATGTGTGGATTTTAAATCATTTTTTGGAGCTCCTCTTAAGTGAACTAGGCGTGGATTATTAAAGGGTTTTTGGAGCTCCTCTTTAGTGAAATAGGCGTGGATTTTTAAAACATTTTTTGGAGCTCCTCTTTAGTGAAATAGACGTGGATTTTGAAAACATTTTTTGGAGCTCCTCTTTAGTGAAATAGGCGTGGATTTTTAAAACATTTTTTGGAGCTCCTCTTTAGTGAAATAGACGTGGATTTTGAAAACATTTTTTGGAGCTCCTCTTTAGTGAAATAGGCGTGGATTTTTAAAACATTTTTTGGAGCTCCTCTTTAGTGAAATAGACGTGGATTTTGAAAACATTTTTTGGAGCTCCTCTTTAGTGAAATAGGCGTGGATTTTTAAAACATTTTTTGGAGCTCCTCTTTAGTGAACTAGGCGTGGATTATTAAAGTGTTTTTGGAGCTCCTCTTTAGTGAAATAGGCGTGGATTTTTAAAACATTTTTTGGAGTTTCTCTTTAGTGAAATAGGCCTGGATTTTGAAAACATTTTTGGAGGTCCTCTTTAGTGAAATAGGCGTGGATTTTGAAAACATTTTTTGGAGCTCCTCTTTACTGAAATAGGCGTGGATTTTTAAAACATTTTTTGGAGCTCCTCTTTAGTGAACTAGGCGTGGATTTTTAAAACATTTTTTGGAACTCTCTTTAGTGAAATATGTGTGGATTTTAAAGCATGTTTTGGAGCTCCTCTTAAGTGAACTAGTCGTGGATTTAAAAAAAAAATATTTGGAGCTCCTCTTTAGTGAAATATGTGTGGATTTTAAAGCATTTTTTGGAGCTCCTCTTAAGTGAAATAGGCGTGGATTATTAAAGGGTTTTTTGGAGCTCCTCTTTAGTGAAATAGGCGTGGATTTTGAAAACATTTTTTGAAGCTCCTCTTTACTGAAATAGGCGTGGATTTTTAAAACATTTTTTTGGAGCTCCTCTTTAGTGAACTAGGCGTGGATTTTGAAAGAATTTTTTTTTAGGCACGAGGTCGCATGACACCCAAGCGTTAGGGGGTCACTTTGTAAGGTAGTGACCCAAACCTTTGAGATGGTTATTTAAGGCGCAATTCTCGCCTCGTCAGCTCAGCGATCATATGCACTCGGTCATTTCCTCCGAGACTCCCCCCTGAGCCCGCTAACATAACAATTGCTTACACTTACCTCCCTCTTCTCCCTGCTTTTATATTCCAAGCAACAATCTAAAACCGGTAAACTGCTATCCTTTCCGCCACTATCGTCATCATCACCACCATCCAAATGTGATTTCTTTAAGCATTTATGAAAATACTTTATCGATAATGTGGATCGTTTAATTTTCACTTCTACATTTGGTTTTACAGCAAATTTATATAGCTCATTGTCCACATCAACATCAGCCCATTCCGATTTTTTATCCAACCATGATTTTAATTCTTTGTCGAAACAATGCCATTGGTCGGCTGTTAACATTCTACAGGTGTTCGTTGCATCCGTACTTTTGGTCGGTGTGTCACCAGCTGCTGAGGACACGGCATTCAAACGACAGAGGACAAGTTTATCACCATGCTGAAAGGAATTAATGTTTTGTTTGAATTTACATTCCATAAGGATGTTATATTTCCAAACTTACTTGATAGACATTCAATGTGGTTTCGCATTTTAGAAACATGATTTCCAAATTGATACGCTACAGGATTTTGGAGGAATTTTAAAGCGTATGTTCATCTGAAAAGGTCATTCTAAATCTTAGGTTCACTTTACAAAGGAACACACAATGTTTGGGTTTATCGGTATATTTTGTTGCGGAATTATACGAAATAGATATAAAACGTAGCTGATAAAGAAGAAACAAAACAAACAGATGTATACAAGCAACGTAGATGACCGCTTCAAAACAGCTGTTTAAATTGTTCTTCTTCTTATTCCTTATGTTTACATTGCAATCACATGACATGGTGTACTGGGCTGCCATTAGCAGCTTGGCAACACATCAATTATTAAATGGATGAGTCAATTTTTTTTCTCGGACCAACTGTGGAACTTGAGGACTACGTCTTAGAGGTAGTTAAAGATTTTATATACCTTGGTACCACCATAAATAAAACGAATGACATCAGTTTTGAAATTCGGAGGATTGTGATGGCCAACCGATGCTACTATGGGTTAAGTAAGAAGTTTAGAAACTAGGCCACCTCCCGCCAGACCAAACTCATACTATACAAGACGCTGATACTACCCGTGCTGTTATATGAATCTGAAGCATGGGTACTTGCGCATGCAGATGAGGCAACTCTTGGGGTGTTTGAAAGAAAAATTCTCCGAAAGATCTACGGGTCGATCTGCGCCGACGGTGAATATCGGCGTCGAATGAAACACGAGCTTTACAATTTATATTCGGACATCGACATAGTCATGCGTATTGAGCTGTAGCGACAACGATGGCTAGGCCATTTTGTGCGAATGAATGGAATGCCCCAGCTTAAAAGGCATATAAAAGCGAGCCTACTGATGATTCCCGTAGGAGGGGAAGGCCACGAATCAGATGGAAAGACCAAGTAGAAAACAGCGCACAAGACCGACGCGTCTGGATTATAATAACGAGGGTTATAATAACGAGTTGATTTCTTAAAAATATTTTTAAGAATTCAAAAAATATTTTTTAGGCCTACAATAAGGCGTAGATTTTTTAGAAATATTTTTGTAAAGCCTACCGTAAGACTTGGGTTAAAAAAATGCAGGCCTACTGTATATAAAAATATTTTTTAAATGCCTACAAGGCGTGAATTTTTTTAATATTTTTTGAGGCCTACAATAAGGCCCATTTAAACTTAGACGAGCTTTGGCAGCGGATCTAAAAATTGGGAAAAACTTGGACATGCACTGATAATTATCTGTTATGAATTTTTTTACCCACCAAGAACCCACTTGGATTATGTACAGAGGACCATTATAAAACCTAAAATAAATCGGAATCCTTATGCGCGTAGTATGTTAAAACGTGGGTCTATACTGACAATTTCATTCATAAAGGATTTCCCTTTTCAAAAAATCCGGACCAATCCGCTTTAACATTTTTAATTTTCTGAAAATGGTTCTATAAAGTTATGTATGAAAATGCGATCCGATATATCTCATTTTAAAATTAAACATCATATGTTTTTCTACGTGCTCTATCGGAAACATTACCATATCTATTGCAATTTCAGAAGTTATGACAAAAAAGTGAAGATCAGCCTTCGATCTGGAGATTACATATATTGGAAGGCCATCCGTAGAAGTCGCCCTTAGATCTATTGAAAGCCAAGTTAATCATTCTGGCTTTATAATACCAATATTCGATCTATTGAAGGTCAAACTACTACAGATAGATAATCACCGAACAGAACGCCAGCCTCCGATCTTAAGAATCTTCTGTCTATTAAAATGCATTTTTATCTATAAAAGGTCAGCCTCGTATCTATAGAAGGACAGTCTACTATCTATAAAGGTCCAGCGTCCAAATAAAGCCAGATTTAAACTCCAACTAAAGTCCATCATACGATCTATAGAAGCCTACAGAAGGCCATCTTTCGATCTTTAGAATACCAGCCTTCGATCTATAGAAGACAAGACTTTGATTCATTAAAGTTCATCCTTTGATCTATAGAAGCCAACCTCCAATATATAGAAGGTAATGCTTCGATCTTTAGAGTGCCAGCCTTGAAGGCGAACACCCTATAGATAGGATGCCAGTCTCCGATCTATTGAAAGTCATACTTCGATATGTTGAAGGCTAATATCCTACATATAGATGGTCACCCTTCTTACCTATAAAAGTCATGTATAGAAGAGCAGATTTCTGTCTATTGAAATCAATCCTTCTATTTACAAAAGGTCAGCCTTCTATCCATAGAAGGCGAGACTTCGATCTAGTGAAGACTATCCTTCTAGCTTTAGAAGTCAATCTCCAATATATGGATGGTAATTCTTCGATCTTTATAATGTGAAACTCGAATATCAGACGTCTACCTTTTTAAGTGCATCATTCTGTCTATAAAATGCCACCTCTATCAGTCCAACCTTCAATCTATAGAGAGTCACTCTTCTATCTGGAGGAATCCCCTTCAATCTACAAAAGGCTAGACTTTTGTCAGTTAAAGTCCATTCAGTTGCCCATAAGAGGCTACAATTTTATATATTATCCTATCCTATCCTTCTGTCTAAAAACTATCAAAACTCCAATATGTAGAGGCCCATCCTATTGTGTATAAAATTTCAGCTTTCGATATATTAAACGCCAACCTCGTACAAGTATAAGATAAGTCTCGGACCTATAAAACGTCGCTTCAACCTTCTATGATGGTAAGTCTCCGATCCATAGAAGTCATCTTTCAATCTACAAAAGGCCAGCCTTTGAGCTATATAAGGCCAGCCTCTTATGAAGGTCGGTTTTCTGCTTATAAAAGGCCACCCTTCTGTTTATTTAAGTCCACCCTCCAGCCTATAAAAACCAGACTTCAATATATAGAAGACCAGACTTCGGTCTATTGAAGTCCATCCTTCGATCTACAAAAGGTCATCTTTAGAATGCCAGACCAGTATCCTATCTTTTTAAAGCCAGATTTCTGTCAATTAAAGTTTATCCTTTTGTCTATAAAATATCTGCCTTCGATTTATGGAATACCAGACTTCGGTCAATTGAAGAAACTCTTTCTATATTTAGAATTTCAGTATTGTCAGCTTTCGATGTAATAAACACCAACCTCATACAAATATGAAATAAGTCTCTGACCTATAAAAGGTCACTTCAACCTTCTATGATGGTAAATCTCCGATGCTGGGAAGAAATCTTTAAGTCTACAAAAGCCCAGCCTTCGAGTTATATAAGGCCAGCCTCTTATGAGGGTCAGTCGTCTGGTTATAAGAGACCACCCTTCTGTCTATTAAATGTAGAAGACCTAACTTCGGTCTATAGAAGACCATCCTTCGATCCATAGAAGGTAAACGATGACCTTCTATGGATCGAAGTATCCTATCTATTAAAAGTCAGATTTCTGTCAATTAAAGTTCAATATTTTGTCTATAATAGATCTGCCTTCGATGTATAGAATACCAGACTTCGGTCAATTGATGGAAATATTAGGTTGGGGAAAAAGAAATCCATTAGGCCAGTTGTCGAAAATGACAATCAGAAAAATTATCGAAGTTGATCGGCATGTTTTTTAGATCTCACAGGATCTAAAAAACGACCATAAAACTGTTCTAAACCATTTACACAAAATTGGATTAAAAAAGAACCTCGATGTTTGGGCGCCAAACTAATTAACAGAAAAAAGGATGGATGGAATTTCCATCTGCGAAGCCTTGGTTAAACGAAATGAGATAGACCCATTTCTTAAACGTATGGTGACTTTGATCTATTGAAGGCCACACTTCTGCCTATTAAAGTCCATCCTTCTGCATATAAAAGTTCAACCTTCGAACTATAAAGGATAAGACTTCGGTCTATTGAGTCCGTAATTCGAAGCAACCTCCGATATATAAAAGGCCAACATTCGATCTTTTCAAGGTCAGACATCTGTCTTCGGTCCTTCGCTATGCCACACACATCTACACACACATCTAGTGACTTGTCAGAAACTTTGGGAGCTTGGTTGGGAAATTTTAGTGCATCCGCCATACAGTCTAGACTTGGCACCAAGCGATTATCATCTTTTTCTTGCATTGCAAAATTTATTTAATGATAAAAATTGGCATCTAGGGAGGATTGTGAAAATCGACTACTAGAGTTTTTTTTGCAAAGAGAGAGCAGGACTACTATGAGAGAGGCATTATGAAGTTACTTTTAAAATGTCAATAAAACGATGCATATTTGACCCAAGTTGGACATTTCGAAGCATGTTAAATAAAGTTCTACAGTTTATATAAAAATAATGTATTTCCTTTTCCCCAACCTAATATTTCTATACAGTATTTTTCGGTTAATTGCACATCAAAATTTGCACAAATTTTCGTTCAATTAACCGAGGAACCAATTATCCGAACCCGCTTAATTGAATAGTTTGTTCAATTACAGTAATCGCGTATAATTGGAACTGCTAATGATTTAAAAAAATCCAATGTCAAATACAAATTACGCTTTCTCGAAGTTTTTCCTTAGCAATAAACATATGTTTTGAATTAGTAAAGATGCCACCTAGTCTTTTTCACAAATTATGTCAAATATGTATGTAAAAAAATGGCAGATTATTTTTCAATTATTATTGTGCAATTATCCGGTAAAACGTAAAAGGAAATTTATTTTGGATGACATGAATTTTGAACCAATTAAGCGGGAAAATCAATTAACAGGGTTTAATTATCCGAGAAAATTTACATGTATTTTTCCTATGAAATATTTTTTGCCCCAATTAAGCGTGGAAATCAATTAACCGAAAAATACTGTAGTACCAAATTTAGTACTTTTCATACACATAAGTACGAATTTCTAAAATGGAGCATCTACATCCTTCTAACTTTCCATCAGTGAACCACACCCAAAATTTCAAAATTCTAGTTCTTCCCTTTTGTCTACCATTAACACGGGGTCAATGACCTTTAATTCAGGTTAAATGATGGCCTTTAATCCGGGGTCAATGACCCTAAATTTGGAGTAAGTCTTAATACGGGATTAAATGCCCCTTAACCCGG